ATTCGGGATGGATGTACTTAAGGAATAGAACAGAGAATATTTACGACCCAGAAATGAATACGTTCACCTTATCTAATCAAGAATGGGAAGATTTCTTCAAGGTTAGTTTTTATTCTTTCTTACCTTTTTATATATTAAACACAAACGCACGAGTATTATATAAATAATTATATTTAATTTGGATGCAGGGACATCCAAAAGCAAGAACTTAAAAAACAACACCATTGGTATATGATGAATTATGCATAGCCTCGTTCGAGGGGACTTCTGCTACAGGATCTCGTGCTTATGTCCCTAGTTCAACTCGTTAGAGGACTACGATTTCATCATCATCATTTACATCTAATATCCACACTACTCAAAAAATACGGAAAATGAGGCGGATGGAGATGAGGAGGAAGAACCAACTATAGATAAAGCGAGCACAACTCCATCTAGACCGAATAAGAAGAGTAAAACCAAGGTCGACATGGATGAATTTGCATTAGAAATGAGGGGTGCAATTTAGACACTTGTTGCACAACAAACCTCAAACCTAAATGCATGTACTGAACTATTGAACACTCTAGACCTTGATATAATGGATCCTCTTCATAGTGTAGCCATTGACATTTTTGAGCAGTCAACATTATTAAGAGAGACATGGTTGACGATCCCTTTAGACGCTGATATATTAACATCATGGATTTCAAATATGGCAAGACGATTGGGACTCACGAATTTGTTTTTGGAATTTGAACAAGTTACCTGGTTATGTGTTTTATATTTGAACATGTTATTTGCTGATGTGTTTGATATTTGACTAATTGGTTACGTGTTTTGGAAGTTGAACAAGTTGTTATTTGGTAATGTGTTTAATATTGAAGTTCACTTCTATTTATAATTTTATTTATGCTTTTAACAGGTTTATCATAGATAATAATAACAAAACTTTACTTCTTATCGTCGTATTCTTATATATGTTCTACTTGAGACAAAGGCGTTTAAGAAGGAAAAGAGATAATACGTCTGCAATGACTGGACCTCAATTTACGAATGAGTTACTTGAAGGTAGTGATCGACAATGTATTAACTCGTTGTGAATGTCCCGTGAAGCTTTCATTCAATTATGTGATCACTTTGAAGCAAAAGGTTGGTTAACGGATAGCAAAAATATATTGGTCAAAGAAAAGATGGCTATCTTCCTGATGATTATAGGTCACAATGAACGTTATAGAGTGGTAAAAAACAGGTTCCAGCACTCAACACAAACAATTCATAAATTTTTTCATGAAGTGTTGTATAAATTGATGGAGTTTGCAAAATAGATCATAGTTCCTACATCATTCAATTCTAATCCAGACATCCCTGGGAATAATAGGAGGTTACGACGAATATTTAAGGTAAATAATAATTCGATAATAATTGTATAACTTTCGTTACTAAATTTATTTTGACTATTAGCTTTAATGTAGGGAGTAATTGGCGCCTTGGATGGAACTTTAATACATGCTATCGTCCCTATTCAAGAACAACATTTATATGGAGGACGAGGAAAGGGTGAATCTTATCAAAATGTTTGGGCAATTTGTAATTTCAACATGGTTTTTACATTTGTTGTTGCCGGATGGGAATGAATTGCATATGATTCTAGAATTTTGTCCGAAGCTTTAACAAATGGTGCTATTGGATTTTCATTTCCTTCTTCAGGTATACTATTGATTTTACAGGTAATATATTTACTATATTCGATTGAACAAGCAGCGCTTCTCTAGCTTAAAGCTGCTTCTAGGCTGAGAGCTTGTACTCACATCGGATACGAAAGCACCTGAGTCAATAGCTGCCTCTTCCGCGGTGCTTATTCCCATAGCAGACTCAATAGCTGCGGTTACGGATTCAATTGTGGTAGGAGTTTCCACTATCAAGCAAGAGGCTTGGAAGCTCTCTTTTAGTCGGAGAAGTGCTACCTGTCGAATGACCATAGGTTTATTTAATGTTTTCAGATAAATATTACTTATGTGCTGCTGCATATACAAATACTCGAAGATTTATGGCGCCGTATCGTAATATTAGATATTGGCTCGGAGATTTTCGTTGTCAACGAGCAATGAACAAGTATGAAAAGTTTTTATCATTCTCATGCAAAACTTAGAAATGTTATTGAACGTTCTTATGGTGTTCTGAAAGCACGTTTTCCATTATTGAAAAAAATGACACCATTTACACTTGAGGTTCAGAGAGACGTTGTTATTGCATGTTTTGCGGTTCAAAACTTCATACGAAAGGAAGGTTTAAATGATGAGTTATTTTCTGAGTATGATCAAACCAACGAGCAAGGTAACAATAACGAGGATGAGGCTGAAGATTCAATCGCAGGGAGTGTCGCTGACCAAACATATATTGCTAGTTTAAGAGAAGAAATTGCGACTCAATTAATGCAAAATGAATATTGATTCTAGTTGTTATGAGACTTTGTTCGTGTTTTATTGTGTGTTGAATCAATTGATGTATTTCAGTTGAATTTTTAAAAACAAATGAATTGATTTAGATTACAGACTTCTGACGTAAAAATAAACAGTCTGACTGATTCAGATTTTAAACGTAAAAACAAACAATCTGATTGATTCAGATTTCAGACTTCAGCACCACCTTTTAAAAATCAGAAGTGAAATCAAACTTCAGACTTCAGCACCTCTTAAAAAACAAATGTCACCTAATATAACCATTTTATTTTTTAGAGGTTTTTTTTAATATAGATGGAGGTTTTACATGAGAATTTTTTGGTTAGAGATCATAACTTAATGACCTATTTTTTCAATGATTTTTATATTTATTTGTTTTCTGTATTAACCTAATTAAATTAGTATATTTAAATATAGATATCGTTATTGCAATCCTTGCCCAATAAAACTCAATAAAACCGTTCTCCATATAAAATAGGTACATAAAAAATAGTAAGATTCATCGTAACAACGCTACCAGACCCATTCTCCGGTTAACAATCATTGTTGGTATTGATGCAAATGTTATAGGATTGTGTTTGTATGGACAATCAAAACAGGACCCAATCCTAAACCATCCATGTCATATTGATACCACTTACAATTGACTTGATAAACCGTGCAAGTAACATGTCAAAATTGGTTTGCTTTAACATACAAAAACTTCCATATTACCTTGTACCATAATTTAATTATCAATACATTATAAGATATGGTCGAAAGTCTGAAATAGTAGTATATATCCCACCTAGCACATCCACTCGCTACTTATGTACCTCGTTTACATCTCTACTTAATAGTCTCTCTACTTTTTGAGACAAAGGTCTGATTTGCTACATTCCATCCGAGATTTCACCTCTGTTGGATTTGTTTGGTTTGGTTTAATTCTCTACTTAATCCTGGTACGTATCGAAAAACAACAAACTTTTTCTACATTTTACTTACTTCTAACTTAAATTTTGTAAAATTATGACATTAACGTCGTTTTTTGTTTTCTTTCACAAGTTTTTCATGGTTTCACAATAGCTTTTTTAGCCATGTAGAAGCAAATTCAAGAGTCGAAGCACCCCCAATAAGGAGATCTTGAGCCATCTATATTCTTTAGAGGGATTAAAGCCCATTAAAACTCAATAAAATCGAATAAAACAATTTACTTTTACATCTTCTTAAAGTGTTCAAATTCGTCCTAACTTAGTGTTTCATAAGCATAGAACATGTTAGCTTCTCAAATTCCATTCTAATAATTTATTGTTCCAGCTTTAGATATTACAAAAAAGACATACACTTTTTTGTCATATAAACTTTAAATCTCATTAAATACTTTGTTAGAACGGTTGTTGGTATCATAACAGACCGTTTTAATTTGTTGTGACGAGTATCGATCAAATGTCTAAAATGCCAAATATAAAATAAATAAATCTCGTAGATACAAATCAAATTTATTAATCAATAAATAGACCATAAGTTCATTAGAATAGTAAAGATATACTTACACGAACAAGAAAATGCTAATCTATAGATAAAATCTAAAATAGGAATTCTTGTGTTAAGGATTGCGTCTAAAATGAACGTAATTTTACATTTTTGACATTTTAAGGATATAATTTATAAATACATGCTTAAAGGTTTATAGTTTGTAAAAATACGTATTTTATAATGTTTATTTGACCATCTATATATATAGTATCACATGTTTTATCAAATTTGGAAGACATAATTTTTCATTTGGGGAAAAACACCAAAGATGAAGGAGTACTAAATCAAAACCAAGTTTACGTGGTATATTTATATTGAAAACCTGCAATTGGAAGATTTAGGGGCCGTTTACCAAACGTTTACTCGGGTAAGCGCTTACCAAGTCACATTACTTCATTGGATTCGGATGGTATGGTTAGGACCAAGAATCTTAATCGGTAAGAGCGAGAGAAGGACTAAAAATCTTATCCGGTAAAAGCGAGAAAAAGACATAATCTTACCCGGTAAGTGAGGGCAACGACTCTAACAACGGTAAGTGCTTACCGGGTAAATTGTTAGATGCGATGTCGTTTTATTGGGCTAAAATCTTACCTGGTAAGTCAATAATAGTGTTAAATTTTATTGGTAAGCACTTACCAGATAAGTATTTAATAAACGGCCCCTTGGTATTTCTTCTTTCAAGTGATACGGGAGTTTGTTTTTTCATCTATTGTCATGTGCAAGCTTCAACGGCAGCGAACGTGGTTTGAAATTGGGTAAATTTGGATATCATGAAACTCAAGCTTATTTGTTTGGTGTACGGTAGTAAAAATAAGTGATTGGTTAAGAATAACAGCAACTTTTTTTTTTCCTGTAATCGTTTACTTTTCAAAGTCGACGGGTATCCCTATAGAAACTCAATACTCCTTTCAAGGATAGAACTTCTATAAATGGCTCCAACAAATCATAACGGAATACGCACCCAAAAAAAATTATGATCACATAAAAACAAGTAGAAACATGCATCTTCTTTTCACCCTTGTTCTATGTACTTTACCTTTAACAATGGTTTTTGGTGGCAACCATCAAATTTCCACAACGATAGCCTCAGGCAACATAGCAAAGCAAGACTGCCAAACACAATGCGGAAACGTGACAGTTTCCTACCCTTTTGGTATCGGGGTAGACTGTGCTTTAGATGGGTCATTTAATTTCTTCTGCAACTCTACAGAAGAACCCCCAAAGCTTATCTACGGTGAAAACATTGAAGTATACAGTATTTCAGATTCGGAGATAAACATCTCCACTTCGATCGGTTACACATGCTACAACAAAGAAGGGATTATAACTGACACATTTGATGCATGGACTAGCATTCCTTCCACTGACCCTTTCACCTTTTCACGAAAGAACAAGTTCACAGTCATTGGGTGCGATGATTTTGCCAACATTAGTTCGACTARCTTCTCAAGTGGCTGTTGGGGGACRTGTAACGAAGCAAATGAAGTGCCTKATGGGTATTGCTCAGGAATTGGCTGTTGTCAGACATCTATACCCAAGGGTCTGAAAGATTACACTGTTACACTTAACTCCTTTGATGACCATAAAAGAGTTCAGTCCTTCAATCCTTGTGGCMTGGCATTTCTTGGTGAGGAAGACAGTTTTAAGTTCCTTGGAGCAGAGGATTTWTATAACTATACCGAGTTTTATGACAGGACATTATCCAAAGTCCCCATAGTTCTTGATTGGGTTATTGGAAGCAACCGAAGTTGCAAAGAGGCTACGGAGTGCAAGGGTAATAGTTCCTGCAAGGATGCAGAGAWTGGTGGGTATCACTGCATCTGCAATGAAGGTTATGAGGGCAATCCTTATCTTGATCCAGGTTGCCAAGGTAAGTTTCAGTTTTGAAACAAAATCATTTAAAAAAAGAATCTTTTTCTATATGCAATGATATAAATAACTCAACGACGACTATTTTTCCTTTTTCGATGTTTATAATTTGATCTATACGAAATACTTTATTTTATCTTTCTCGTGTCTCTTTGTTTTAGTTTATGAATACTTTTCTTTGTTTTGTTTAATTTGTCGATATATATTTTTCTTTGCTAGACATCGACGAGTGCAAGGATAAAAGCCATTGTTATGGTAATTGCATTAATATTCAAGGGAGTTACAATTGTACGTGTTGGCCAGGATACACGGGTGATGCAATGACTGCAGATGGTTGTCGATACATTGCTAAAAAATCAAAAATTTTGGCTTTTGTATTGAGTCTAGGTAATTCTTCATGTAACTGTTGATTAACATGTTAAATATTACTTTCTATAATAAGGTAATTGCCAAGTGTATATGTCTATAGCCACCAATTTACAATATAAGATCTTAAAGACAAGTTGTTGAACAATTTAATAAGCCTTGACACATGTATTTCCATTGGAAATTGAGTTGTCTTATGGCTTTTCTACCTTTCATTTCACTTCATCTTTTCGAATCAACATTTTCTTCTGAAGCTTGTTCTCTTCGTCAACCTAACTATTTCTTCCCAACTGTTCATTGCTTTTTCATTTGCATCTTCCTCATTTAGTTTAGCCATGACTTCTGCAACTTGCCTTTTCCCTCCACCATTCTTCCTTCAGTTTAGCCATGTCTCTCTCTCTCTCTCTCTATGTGTGTGTGTGTATATATATATATATATATATATATATATGATGACCTGCAACCACTAGCATTACAACAATGGATCTTTATACGATATGCTTTCAGTTTTTCGCACCAAGAATCAGGTTCTTTCACATTTCGATTAGGTAACTAATTGAAGAATTTCTCGATCCTTTTATTTTCACATGTAGCTCTCGGTATTGGCTTGCTGGCAATATTTTCTGCAGTAAGTGGGATTTTCTTTGGAATAAGGAAAAGGAAACTAACCAAGCTACGAGAAAAGTTCTTTGAGCAAAATGGGGGTGTGTTTCTGAAACAAAAACTCAAGGCACCAGGGACTAGCAATGCAGTGACTATCTTTAGCACTGAACAACTTCARAAAGCGACTGATAATTATTCTGATGAGCGAATCATTGGCCGAGGTGGTTATGGTGTAGTGTATAAAGGAATTTTGCCTGATAAAGGTGTTGTTGCAATAAAGAAGTCAAAACTAGTGGATGGGACCCAAAAGGAGCAATTCGTCAATGAAGTCTTAATCCTTACACAAGTCATACATAGAAATGTGGTGAAGCTTTTAGGCTGTTGTTTGGAAGAAGAGGTCCCAGTACTAGTTTATGAGTTCATCTCCAACAATACGTTATTCCATCACATTCATCATATATCARGTGGAATGAGTTGGTTATCATGGGAGAATAGGTTAAGAATTGCCTCTGAAGCTGCAGGTGCACTTGGATACCTTCATTCACAAGCTACCATGCCTATCATACACAGAGATGTCAAGTCTACCAATATATTATTAGATGATAACTATACCACAAAAGTTTCTGACTTTGGTGCTTCAAGGTTGGTCCCATTAGATCACGATCAAGTCACCACTCTTGTTCAAGGCACACTTGGATACTTGGATCCTCAATACTTCAATACAAGCCAACTGACGGACAAGAGTGATGTATATAGTTTTGGAGTGGTCCTTGCAGAACTCATAACTGGGCAAAAACCCCTTTGTGCTGATAGAACCAATCAAGAAAAGAATCTAGCTACATATTTTGTCAAGTCGATGAAAGAAAACCGGCTATATGAAATTGTTGAACCACGAGTGCTACGTGAAGGCACTYTAGAGCAGTTACAAGCAGTAGGTGAGTTGGTAAAGAGATGCCTTAAGTTAGAAGGCGATGATAGACCTACGATGAAAGAGGTGGAGATGGAGCTAGAGGGATTGAGGAAGTTCACAACTCATCCTTGGGCTCGAGAACAAACACATGAAGAATCTACAAGCTTAATCGTTGAAGTTGAACAATCTGATCTTTATAATGAATGGGAATCTTACTCAGGTAGTACTCATATGGCGTTTCAAGAAAAAAAAACCACGTTAACCGGTTAAGGGGTTTGTTATAGTGTCAATTGTATGAGAATAGTAACTATGTTTTCCTTGCAAATTGTTGGTTGTATCTTCATTGTTGTGTTGAGAGTAGGTTTGGTAATTTGAGTGTATTTCATGTTCTTTCCTTATTTATTTGCTTGTAACTATTTGGAGCTTGTAATATTTCTTCGATGATTGTTTAGATAAGTTTATGGATTTGTTATAAATAAATGTCCATTTTACTCTCAAACATTCTGACTTGTTCACATGAATCCACTTCCTTTTGATTATGCACTCATTCTTCTAAGACATCATCGTCTGCAAACTATTCTTTAAAAAAAACACAAGTTTAAATAAAAAATGGACACTGGAATTAACCAAAAGAATTGGTTTAACAGTAACCATCTCATCTACTTGAGGGAGTGTATCGATAAAATAAACTCCCTCATGTTGATGAAACCATTGGCAACGAAACAAGCCTTATACCTCTGAATAATATCCATAGACTCATTCTTTAGTTTGTAAACACGTATGCATCGAACAGAATAGCAACATAGACCATGTACTCTTGACTTCCATGGCGTTGAGTTCATAGTTCATTGTCGTAACACATTCATCATTTTAATAGTTGTCTCCTACAGGTGATTGTGAGATGAGAATCATTCAAAATTTCACCCACCACCCAGCTGACATTACATAAAATACCAAACTCCCGTTAACCTTATCGATAGTGCATTTCATGGTGACGCATTCCAATGCCTGGAAGTAGTAATTCCATCAATTGTATGAAGTTCTTTTTGTGGTTGCTCTATATTGTTTATTGTTTATACTCAAAATCTTAATTTGTTGATATCTTTTTTTTGCTTTGCTTTGTTCTGTTTGTACTTGCATCGTATTTATATTAACCCAACCAAGAATGTAAATCTTCATGAGATATTTTGAAGTGAAAAATTATTTACTAAACATTGAACTTGATCGAGCCCTTCAAAACTATGTTTATTTTTTACGATGTGCGAAGGAAACACTACAAGAAAAATCCTAATTAGTGACAAAAAATAAATTGGTCACTAACAACCTAAAATTGGTCACTCATGTTGCTTAGTGACCAACATTTCGGTGGTCACTTTTAGTCACTAAAGGTCCGTCACTAATTTCCAATAGTGACCAAATGCATTAATAGTCACTAATTTGTGACAAAATTAAACTGGCCACTGTATTTGTGACGACTAATTTAGTCACTAAAATGCTAAAAGTCGTCTTTAATTGTTCAAGATAACGGCTTCATCAACATCCGTTAACTTCCATTTATGACCAAAAAGAAGTTGTCACTAATTAAGAAAACAAGAAAAAAAATTGTTAATTTTTATTATAGTTGTGATTACAATAAAATTAAAACCTGCTGATCTGAAAAGATATAAATCCAAAATATTAATTCATTTGCAAAACATGTAATTTTCGATCCAAACTAAAAACAAGTATTTCACTGTTATGTCAATTGATTATCACTAAAATCATTTAATGACTAATGAAAATAAAACATAAAATTCTTAGTTTTGAGATCCCAATGCAGATAACTTTGTCATCACGAGGTTCATTTTTTCTTTCATTTGATAATGCTCCACTTGAAATTTAACTTATTCTTCTTTAATTCTTTTTTGAAATTTCATTTGTTCTTCTTTAATTCTCTGAACTTCTTTCTCTAACGCCTTTGATTTGTCTTCCCCCAATTCCAACTCCAATCGCTTACTTTATGTGGCTAAAACATGTTTTGTCGAAGCAGCACATCCCTTTACGTTACCTGGAATACAATGCAGTTTTTTCAAACAAATTTATGTAGGTGAACACGTAGAAGCAGCTTCCTCACATTGTAATTCATTATGCACACCCAAACAAAACCATAAATATCATAGCAATCAAGAAAATGTAATCATGAAATCAAGCATGCCTAGCATATATGCCTAAATCATATTGCATATGATTATAAACATATTAGAAAGAAAAACATGAAAGTGACAAAAACATACGGATAAAGTGATTAAGCCACAAATCAAAACCATCAAAATTTGTGACCACTTTAACTTTTAACTTAATGACTAACATTTTTTGGTCACCAAACCGTTCAACTCAGTGACCATTATTTTGGTTACCAAACGCATGAATATATAACATCAATGACGAAAAATATGGTCGTCACAAATTTAGTCATCAAAATAGATTGATATGAAAAATATTTTTTTGCATGAAAATTAGTGACCACTTAGTGACTAAATTTATTTTTTGTTACTAAATCATATTAGCGACAACAAATTAGTGACGACCTTTCTCATCGTCAATAACGTCAGAGTTAATGACCAAAATATAAGTAGTCACTAATGAAGTTTTTCTTGTAGTGAAAAGTTGCTAAAATCATACAATGGTTGACGTGCCTTATATATCTTTTACCTTTTATAGTCGTATTCGTAAATAATAAAGACAAATAAAACACCTCCTTCTAAATTTAATTCTACTCATCAATCCACCTTTATGCTTTGCTTTGATATAATGTGTATGCACCTTCTCGATTTTAGACTGCAAATTAAAATGAACATTGATACAAAAGTTTTTTTATTCACGATCAATGAGAAATCACATTACAAATAAGTAAACATTTGAATCATTTGACATCTAAAAGTTCTCTTGCAACACTAGCTTCTTGACCATGGTCATCAAGTTCTATGTTCATTTTAGAGCTTTTGAATCTCGGAAAAACAATATTGGTCTTGATCATTGTGTTTAATGTCGAGTTCTAAAACCAAAACTGATATGGGCCTCGGCAAAAAGGACCGGGCCTTATTGTTCGTGGAGGCCCATGACCACGCTAAAGTGGGTGTTGCGTCGCGCGTAAATGGCATAACTTTTGTTGTGGGTTTCTGTTTCAGGCCAATAATACGTTGATTTGAAGCTTGAACTTGGAGCATGGATATTTTAGGCTTGAAAACATCGTTTAATATGTTTTGAGATATTTTTGTGTTTTTTGCTATATTTTTAATTTATGATTTAGGCTTTTATATATGTTTGTCCCATCATTTAGGTATGTTTAAGCTTAAGCTTGAGAGTTGCGGTTGTTAAGCTTGAGTCTGTCATTTATATGTTGATTTCATTCCAAGGATGGTCATTCAATCAAAACATAAAATTTCCATTTCCATCCAAATTTTAAGTTCATTGCGAATTCGAGTTTGAACTCAAATCTCATTATTCGTAGAATCAACAGTGGAGGAAGCCGAATGCTATTTTGTACTGTTAAAACCCCACCAGCTAACAACTTGCCCTTTCCCTCCACCATTCTTCCTTTAGTTTAACCATGGCTCTCTCTCTCTCTCTCTCTCTCTCTCTCTCTCTCTCTATATATATATATATATATATATATATATATATATATATATATATATGATAACCTGCACCCACCAGCATTACAAAATGGATCTTTATACGATATGCATTTAGTTTTTGCCTCCACCATTCTTCCTCTAGTTTGACCATGGCTCTCTCTCTCTCTCTTTATATATATATATATATATGATGACCTGCACCCACTAACATTAAAAAAATGGATCTTTATATGATATGCATTTAGTTTTTTGCTCAAAGACTCAGGTTCTTTCGCATTTTGATTAGGTAACTAATTGAAGAACATCTCGATCCTTTTATTTTCACATGTAGTTGTGGGGATTGGCTTGCTGGCAATATTTATAGCAGTAACTGGGATTTTCTTTTGAATAACGAAAAGGAAACTAACCAAGCTACGAGAAAAGTTCTTTGGGCAAAATGGGGGTGTGTTTCTGAAACAAAAACTCAAGGCACCAGGGACTAGCAATGCAGTGACTATCTTTAGCACTGAACAACTTCATAGAGCTACAAAATAATTATTCTGACGAGCGAATCATTGGTCGAGGTGGTTATGGTGTAATGTACAAAGGAATTTTGCCTGATAAACGTGTTGTTGCAATAAAGAAGTCAAAACTAGTGGATGGGACCCAAACGGAGCAATTCGTCAATGAAGTCTTAATCCTTACACAAGTCATACATAATAATGTGGTCAAGCTTTTAGGTTGTTGTTTGGAAGGGGAGGTCCCATTACTAGTTTATGACTTCATCTCCAACAACACGATATTCCATCACATTTACCATATATCAGGTGTAATGCTTGTTATCATGGGAAAATGGGTTAAGAATTGCCACTGAAGCTGTAGGTGCACTTGGATACCTCCATTCACAAGTTACCATGCCCATCATACATAGAGATGTGAAGTCTACCAATGTATTATTAGATGATAACTATACCGTTAGCTCTACATCTAATCCAATCATACGCAGTGAATTGAATCTCACTGCAAACATCCTTATCAGATTTGCTCTTTCCATTGAACGTCTTTCCAAAAGAAAGCAGCCATAATCACCTTGCTAACCTCTCTTCTGTACGTATCCCCAATCGTTGAAATCGCCAACCACATGTTACGAGCCGAGGAAGCATTTGCCGGCCACCAATTCACCCACGAGGCCAAATGTGCGTTAATAACCTTTGTCGTGGAGCATGTCACAAAGACGTGGTCCAAGTTCTCCGCCGTCACCAAACACGTCTGACACTCGGCCGAGTTGAGTACTATGCCACGCTTCAAGAGGTTGTCCTTTGTCGCTAACCGATTGTTAAGCGTACGCCATAAGTGGATATTTGCTTTACTGGGAACCCACTTAAGCCACTCCGTTTCCATATCATCCGTAGGAAGCAAGACACAGTCGATCAATCTCCTGAGAGATCTAACCGAGAAGGTGTTGTTCGATTCCAGCAATCATGACCACCCTTTCCTATCCGGCGCTTCGATTAGGAGACTATTGATATGGACACCGATATCACCAAGGTCCTTTTCAATACTTTTAGTATTGTTCCAGTCATCTCTCATTCCTCTAACCGCCAAGCTTTGAGTCGAGTTGCAATAGCGCACGACCGAGTTCCAGATCGCGGAAGGCTACGCTCATTCCACCAC